GCCGCTGGACCTACTTTGTACACGCACACACGCGCGCGCGCGCGACTTAAATGCACGTGCACGCCGCATCTCGCGGGGAGGGGACACGGCTGCACACCCCGCTGGTTGTATGCGTCTCTCTACCTCGCGCCCTCTCTTTCCTCCTCTCCCCCCTCTCTCTCTCTCTCTCTCTCTCTCTCCGCGGCGGGAGCGGAGAGAAGTGGCTCGCGTTCGGCTCGAGCGAGTCCGTCTCTCCCTTGGTCCGCTTCTGCGTCTCTCTCTCTCTCCTCTCTCCTCTGATCTCTCCTGTCTAGTCTTTCTCTATTTCCCTTCGGTTCTCTTTCTGTTGCTCATTTTGGATACCTGTTTTATTGTTTAATCTTATATCTATCCGAGTTTTGTAGCTCTATTTGATTATATTTTTTTATTTTCGTGCTCTACTGCCAAGGCATTTCTTGCCAGAATAGACTTTTCTTTCCTTTGCCTCCCTTTCCTTTCACGATTTGTTCGTAATAACCGATTTTTATTTGTAGCTTACACCTGTTGCGTATTTCTTTTCACTCCGCTCGTCTCTTTTTCGGAATACGACAAATTTATCCTTCTCTATCTGCTACTCCATTTGGCCCTCATGTATCCAAAAGCGTACGCGCCCGCATGAGCGGCCGAACGAATACATATTGGTTCTGCGGCTCCGCGGTACTACCAATCGGATCGGTTCTCCCCTCTGCATTCGTGTGTGTACGAGGGCTACTCGCTTTCCTAAATCTAAACCCATCGTCGTTCGGCGCAGCGGGAAAAAAAGACAATAGTCGGCGTCTTGCAGCACGTATTTCGAGATCTCAGAGATTAAACGAGTTAAGCCAGCGCCACACAATGCTATTTTTCCGACTGGATTGCTTACCAGGGCCAATCAGGGTCTGGCGTTAAGTCACCTGATCGAAAACTCTGCATCCTGATTGGCTCTCGTAAGCAATCCGGTAGGAAAAATAGAATGCGTTGTCAACCTGCGCGTGCTCGATCTTTATTAATCGCAAATAATTCAAAACGCAAAAAAAGAGAGAAAGAAAACGAGAGTGTACACGGGTATTTGATAAGACGGGAGGACAAAAGTGGAAGTCGAAAATCTCACGTTGCACGAGTCGAAATTTTGGTACTGTTTTGACACTTTTAAGGATAATTTACACCTACTTAGCTGATCTATACACCTACATAGACCAACAACAACATACTTTGGTGACATTGTATTTTTTTTACTCCTCCCTTGAATCTTAAATTCTAAAAATTTACTTAACTCCTACTTAAAAGGACCTGCTTTAATGCTAAATTGGTAAAAGTAGAAATTTCCGATACTATCGGTTTTAAAGTAGGAGTAAATTTTGGTACTATTTGGACACTTTTAAGGATAATATACACCTACTCAGCTGATCTGTACACCTACATAGACCAGCAATAATCTACTTTGATGACTTAATATTTTTACTCCTCCCTTGAATCTTTGATTCCAAAAATTTACTTTAGCTCCTACTTAAAAGGACCTGCCGGCGCTATCAGTTTTAACATAAGAGTAAATTTTGTACTTGCAGTTCGACCTCGTTTACTGTCTTAGGTCCTACTATATGATAGAATTAAAGGTTCAACATAGGGCCAAAATTTACTGAAACATTAATTCGCAAATCGTTTTCTATCTAATCCAAACGGCCCGAGAACGGCGGAGAGCGATTCGCACTGAGGGGGTAATATCATTGATGGGACTGATAATAAGAAGCAACACGAAATATTGTATCAACGATAATACGCGAGCGTTCCCGTCACGGCCGCAGAGACTTCATTTCGTTTTAGGGATTGTTCAGCCGAATAGCATAAATATTTATGCACATACGCAAGCATTACGCGCTTGCCGGCGCATTAACGAGCACAATGCACTTATATCGTTTCATATACATACCGGCCGCTCAGGTGAGTGACGGCCGCCCGAGCGTGATGTTCCTCTCAGTTTATTTTACGGTTCCTTACGGTTGTCGCTTTCTTCCGTTTACCGTCGCTTCTGTTCCACCTCTATTTTTATACAACCTTCTGAAGACATAATAATATATACGGGGTGTCCGGTGAGAAAAGCGATACGAATGAGAACGCCACTCGCGACGGGACGGGCGAGAAATGTCGAATAGAATCTTTAGATTCGTGGAAAGGTCTCGGTGCATTTTTTTTTTTTTACTAATTCCGTGCGCGATAATCAAAATGATAAAAGGAGCGCAGTGTATTTTGCTAGTCTATTGCTACTGTACCTGCAACAGGCGAATAAATTCAAAAATATATACACAGGGAGAAGAAAGTACAATTATCGTTTAATAATTAATATAAATTTTTTAATTAATTTGAAAACAGAAAACAAAATTTTTCACATTAAAGCTAACACGCGTAGGCGTTTAATGTTAGAGAAGTAAAGCGATATCCGATGGTTCGCTGAATTATACGCGCGGGAAGTTAGCGCGAAGAATTTTTTTTTTTTCCCGAACGTTGCGTTTCACGGTTTGCGCCACGCGTCGCGAGACAGCTACGTCATCGAGATCGGTATCGATCGTATTATCGAAAGGGCAGCCGGTGGGCACGCAAGTCGAGCGAGTTAGCGCGGTATCGCCCCGTATCCTCTCGACTTGCTTTATAATCTTTTAAATATTCAGTTTGTACGCTCGGTTTTGCATTCACTACAGCGTATCGGCCGCTACGCCGCACGAACTCGCGCGTGTAACTAACTCGCACGAAAATGATTATCGGCCGGATCGCAGATCGGCCCGCGATTGACTCCTCTCGCAGGGAGGGGCGGTCCGCCCTTGAGTCGTTCTTAATTAAGCGCCGGCGTGTCCATTTTCGGAGTAACTCACGAGCGGGAGAACAAAAGTGAGATCGGGCTCTCCGCGGCAGGCGGTGTCGCGTCAAGTGTTGTGCGCGATCGTTGGCAAGCCAAGGCGGGGGATGTGCACGAAGAAATTGATTGGTCCACGAGCATAATGCATAAGGAAATGGACCGGTTCAGCTGTCGCGTTATCCCTCCGAAGGACCATCCGACCTTACCCGGTGCGTTCGCCACGAGGAAGAATTCTGCAAGAGGAAACGCGCCTGTTCGCGTTTAATTTGCGACGCATGATTTTGCGCGCGCGGAATAATTAACGCGGCGTTTCCCCTGCCGCCCCCCCCCATCCTCCCCTCGTCGTACACGCTTACTTTTCACGGGATAAAGTTCGACGTAACGAAGCGTCCGACGTTAACGAAGCGTTAAAGCGAGGCAGGTGGGTTGCATTAATGCAACACCGGGAGGAATATAAAACGTGTAATCGCGAAAGGTCGCATTAATAGTAATAATAAAGAGGATAAAAAGCATGCGATTTTTCTCTCGCGGGAACAACGCGGGGCCGGCTCGCAACGTAGTTTATATTTAGACTCGCGCGCTTAGAGCGAATTTATAGTCATTGCTATCGGGATCCTTTATGCACCGTCCCTTGGCGATATTGCGGTGTGCCTACACTCCTCTAACACTCTAGGCCGGCGGTTCTCAAACCTTTTTTCGCTCGCGGCGCGCCATTGTCCGCCCCGCGAGGCGACTCCGGCCGGGGGGGAGGCGGATTGCCCGCGCGGGGCAAATTCGCCGGTGCCGTGCCATTTCCTCGCTCGCGGGGCGGGGAAAAATTGGTCGAAAGGACCCTCTTCCCTGTCACCGCGCCAGCGAATCGCGAGGCTCGTATCTTCCACGCGACGACGCGCCCTTTGAGAGTCACTGCGCGAGACGTTAGAGAAAGAGAGAGTACACACACACCGTGCGTCTATAATCTCTCGGCTTTTTTTTCACGCGCGTGTGATGACACCCACGTGGTCTCGCCGCGGCTCCGCTCGCGAGCGAGCGAGCGGGCGATTCGTACGGAGCCACCAGCCGATATCTATATGGTCGCAACCTTTCTCCTCTCATGTGCTAATCAATCTGCGTGGCTTCCTACGCATTTCGATTACGTAAACGCCGCGCATTGTGAGGCCCGTGCAGCGCGAAAATTTAAAAACGCGAAATCAGGAATCCGCGCCTCGCATTCCGCGAATCGGCGCCTCCGTCTTCTTCGCCGATATCTCATATTCGAATGACATTTGCGGATACGCTCGGCCGCGCGAGGATCGACTGTCGAAACCGCGCGATGGATCGTGCACTTTGCATCACGCGCGCGAAATTATTAGCGCGCTCGACCGGAGGCGGTGCGAATCGTCGTCGGAACGGATCACGTTCGATCCAATCTAACCTCCGGGGGGTGGGGGGTCGTGCAATTAATCGGAGGCGCGCTCGACGCGCGTGTACAAGGGGGTGATCTCGCCCCGTTCCAATTCTTATCTGCCGTTTATCACGCAGCGCGCCCTTCTGCCCGAAACGTTCCGCTCAAAGGACGATCCTCAAAATTGGTCGCCCGAGGCACCGCCTACTCCCGCTTAAATACGCCTACGCATCTTCCGTATTTTTTTGTTTGTTTTCGCTTCTCTTCTCTTCGCGGAACTCACATCCATTTTTCGTCCCACCGCCGCGCGGAACTTTCGCGGCGATGGCGACGACGGCGAGAGAAGACGCCGCGCCGCGCGCCGCGCCAATGCACGGGCGGATCCGCGAGCCCGCGCCCGACGGCGCCCTCGAGGGGGGCACTCGCGCTCGCTTCGCTCGCGCGGGGCACCTTCTCCCGCCAGGTACACCCGTGGATCCCACCAACACCTGCGCGTTTGGCGCGTAAACGGCACACGCATACGCGCAGCGCTCCTCGCTTCCTCCTTGTACGCTCGACCGGCCGCGAACACCGCCGCCGCCACTGGCCGCGATGCTCGTGGTGGTTCGCCGTAGCGCGCCGCGCCGCTTCGCTCCGCTCCGCGCCGGGCCCCGATCCGGCCCGAGTAGCAAGTCACCTCCGCTCACCTCGGCGGAGCGCGCGCGCTCCGACTTCAGTCCGCGCTCGGCCCGAGTCGTCGCGCAGCACGGAACGCGCAGGAGGCGAGCGGGCACGCAGGCAGACGAGCAGACGGGCCGGCTGCTGTCGCGCGCGACCCGAGACGGCGACACGCAGCGCACGCGTGTACGGCGTTGTTGTTATTGTTACTGCTGCTGCTGCTGCTGCTGCCGCCGGGTAGACCTGCGCGCGCGTGTACACGAGCGAGAGGGAGATTGACGGACACGTGACATACGGAATTGCCCGCGCGCACGCGGCAACCTGGGCGCCCGTGACTCGCCTCGCTACTCACTCGCGGCGGCGGGACCGAGATCCGGGACACCGGGACGCGCGGCTCCGCCGAGGATAGGGGACGGCGGGAGATCCGTGAGTGCCTCCGCAGGGATTCCTGCGCAGGAACCGAGCGCGGTATTATGTCACACTCCCACGCGAGCGACGGCCGCCGCTGCCGTTCCTGCCGCCGTCGTCGCTGCCGCTGTTGCTGCCGCCGCTGCCGCGAGGCTCAACATCCTCGTCGTTTGACATTTCCGCGGGCGTGCAACGCCTGACGGTCCGCGCGCACACACACGTGCTCGCGCTGGTGCGCGCGCGCGCCCTATTGTGAACGTTACGCTCGTTTCCGTCCGATACCCTGAGTGTGTTCGGTTCATCCGCCGGCGCCGAGGTCCCCGCGACACACGAGACGTTTCTCCCAGGTCGCTCTCCCGAGAGCGCCGATCGTAATTCGACAGTGACACACCTCCGCTCTCTCGCGAGCCGCGCGCGATCGCACGCGGCCCACGTTCCGAGTCTTTCCCGCCGGCGGCGCGAGGGAAAAACGCGCGCCGTTCCTGGATTCGCCATCCGCTTCGCCGGACAACGCGCCCGTCGACCAACGGCCCCCGTGGGAGGAAGAGTCAAAGGTAAACGAGAGAAAGAGAAAGCGAGAGAGAGAGAGAGAGAAAAGCCATTTGGCGCGAGCGCACCGCGCGCGTTTTCCACGAGTGAAACCCGATCGCTCGCCGCGCGGGTGTCACGTATCGCCGGTATGGCACGCGATACGGCGGCGACGCTCCGCTCGATTCCGCTCGACTCCGCTCGGCTCCGCCGCGCCGCGTCGGCCCCGCGGATCGATCGTGACGCCGGGGTATGAAATCGGTAATGAGCTGTAAATCTCCGGCGAGTACATCGGGCCGCGTGTGCGGGTGAGTCACACGTCGAATCACGGATACCGACGATACCCGCCGACACACGCAACACACAATACACACCCGCGCGCGCGCACGCAAACACGCACATATATAATATACGTAGACGGCACCTTCCTTCGGCGTATTCTTTTCCCTTCGGTAGAAAATCGAAGGAAAGGATAATAAGCGAGAAATACACTCTCTCTTACCCGCCGGCCGGTTCCGTGGTTGGCCGCGCGCGCGCGCGTGGGCGTAAACGAGAGAGAAAGAGAGAAGAACGGCCGGGAAGGCAGGCGAGCGCGAGGGAGCGAGAGAGGCAGAGCGCGGCGCAGCGTGTAGAGGCGATTTTCTGAAAAAATGGACGGTGAAACCTTCGTTAACGTTCGGTTTAGACTCACGTGCCGTCCATCGCCCGCGGGAGGTAATCCCGTTTCGATCGGATCGATTCGACCCGTGGATCGTCGATGCGCGGCGAAAGCGCGGCGCAGAGACGCCGACGCGGGGATCGTCGACGTCGTAGGAAACCCACCTGGGTCGTCCCCGTCGTAGACGTTGATCGCCCTATCTGTCGAATTTAACGACCTAAGTGGCGACCGGGCTGCTTTGCCGGCGAGAGAGGCACGCGCGAGAGAACGCTCGCGAATCGCTGGCCAAGTAGAATCATTCTGGCGAATGGAGGCCCGAACGCGCGAAAAAAGTTGAGCAGTAAAACTTGGGACTTGGGGGAAATGACCAATGAAGGCCCGAACGCGCGAAAAAACTTGAGCGGTAAAACTTGAGACTCGAGGGAAATGACCGATGACCGTCGGGAACGTAAGCGGACATTTTGGAGCCGCAGCAATGCTGAAAATTCCGATTGGTTGAAATTCTTAAGTCTCAAGTCTTAGGCCCGGTATTGATAGTCGATTCTTATTTCAAGATCATGTGTTGTCTTAACCCTTTCAAGCATACACGTTTCTATTGAACCGTTTTTTGTGAAACTTTGTACACGAGGCTTTTTGGGGTCGCTGGTTACGAGTCCGTTGTCAGATTGTCATAATTCAAAATGGCGGAGTTGAAAACTTAAAATGCAAAAACCCGGCCTAAATGCGTTAGCTGGAAATTAAATGGCCATAAGGTAAAGAAGTTGAGGTGGTAACGTGGCTTACCACCACGCTTCAAAGGGTTAAGAGGCTAACACGGCTCTGTGATTGGCTAAAAACACATTAAGAATATACTTAAGATGATCTTAAATATAAGAACGGACTATGAATACCGGCCTTATCGCTTAAGTTTTTTCGCGTGTTCGGGCCTTGACTGTCGAGAACGTAAGCGGCCATTTTGAAACTTCAGCAACGCTGAAAAGTCCCCCGATTGGTTGAAATTCTCAAGTCCTGTACCGCTTAAGTTTCTTCGTGCGTTCGGGCCTTGACTCCTGAAAATCCGCGATGGAATCGACGCGCTCGATCGATGCGCGGCTTCGCCTTACCGCGACGGAGAGGCGCCGCGAATCAGAAAGATCCGCGACGACGTCGCAATTACAGTGATAGTTGGACTTCTCTGACGCCTGCAGGAATTCGACTGAATCCGCAAAGCGAAGAGCGCAAGTTGTTAGGCGAAATAAGACCGTAGGATTAGACGTGACAGGAAAAAGCCCTTACGGAACGAAATAATTACTGCACATCAGTAATTTCTAATCATTCAATTACTGATATACGGTAATTTTCTAGTAATTATTCCGTTACTTTTTCGTAAGGCAGGAAATAGTGAAAAGAAAATCTCGACGATAATTACAAAGTCTCTTGTGATAAGCGTCACGAATCCGTCCGAGGGGGTTTTCCCTTATCGTTCGACAGGCATCGACCATGTTTTTATTATAATCAACACGCATTGAAGATTGAGGCTCGGTTTCGCCAAACGTCGCTTAACTTCGATCTCGGTTCAATTCACGTTGATCTCTGTCTAAAGTAACGGTTGAAAAGAGACAAAGAATGAGTTAAGGCAAGCTTAAAGTTGAACAACGTTGGTGAAACTGGATCTGAGAATTACGCCCGTTTCCGCCAGTTCAACTATAGTAATCTCGGTCCAATCGACTTTATATCTTTTTCTAGCTTTACGAATTCGAGAATTCGACCTCTGGTAACGTTGGCGAAATCACCCGCGCAACATCCGAGTCACGCCAGGTCGTCGGGCATAGTCGCATATGCCTCGCTCGAATCTCGTTAGCGACGAGGAGTCTCGGCCGCGCGACAGCCATCCAGCAGCAGCCGCGCCACGTCGAATCACGCGAAACGCCGCGATTGCGAAGACGCGACGTTAGAAAGCACACCGTTAATATTGATTTATACGCTCGTCTATTTATCGAGAGATACGTCTCCCTTCGCGCGATAAACGCGCGTTCATTACAAGCCGCGCGCGCGTTTCGTCGCGGTTACGCGCGTCACGCGCCTGCCTCTACGCGGGTCCACGCAATTCGAAGATGCGTATCGCGGAGTAGCGAGAGAGAGAGAGAGTGAGAGAGGGGGAGAGAAGGAGGCAGGAGATGAGGGATGAAACAAGCACCGTAGAAACTAATAATTCAGCGACTTCTTAACGCGGCACCGTCGCCGTCGAATCGTTACGCGCGCATTCCTCCTCGCTTTCATGTCATCGGCATCCTCGCGGCCAGGCGATGCGACGAGCGAACATCGCGTGTTGTATCGATCTGGCATTATGATTATTATTGCGTTACGCGTCTCGCCTTTGTCTCTCTCTATGTCTGTGTGCGCGCGTGGTTGCGTGTGCGTGGCACATGTGTGCGAGAGAGTATCACGGATTGAGACCTCCGTCAGTGGCACGTACATACGCGACCATCGTGCGACTTTACGATTTCGTCGCGTACATGTATGGATCCCCGGATCCCCGTCGGCGAACGCGTCGCGCGTTGTGCCGTTCAACCCGATCCGTGTATTCGTAACGGCAGAATCATTTTTGCTATTGTTCTCTCTCTCTCTGCTATGCCCGTTTTCGCCAACATCGTTTAACTTTGATCCAAAGCCAACGGCGATACTATTTTCCCCACTGGACTTCTCGCAAGGGCCACTAAGAATGAAGAGTCTAAAAGCTCGTGTCACACTACGTATCGCGGATCGCGATTCGACCACTCGGATACGCTGTCTCGTCGATTGGCTGATTAGATCAGATGACTTGGGGCTAAATCCTAATTGGCTCGCGCGAGCAATCTAGGAAAAATAATATCGTGTGCCGTTGGCTTTAGTTTAATTTTCCTTCTTCTCTTCCTAACTGTCCCCTTGGAAAGAGACAAAAGAGGTAATTATGCTCGTTTCTAACAGTGTAGATCAACTGTAATCTCGGTTTAGATTACTTCTTATCTTTTTCTAATTCGTAAAGCTAGAAAAAGATGTGAAGCAAGTTGAACCGAGATTGAAATTAAACTGCGTTGGTAGAAACGGACACTAGGCCCGGTTTTTCATTTTCTGGTTAACCAGAGAGCGAAAAGCCTCGAACCAAAGCCAGCGGCACACGATACCATTTTGCCGACTGGATTTCTCGCAGGAGCCAATAAGGATGCAGACTTTTAGATGAGCCGAGGCTAAATCCTGATTGGCTCCCGCGAGCAATCCAGTGGGCAAAACGGTATCGCGTGCCGCTTACTTGGGATCAAAATTAGATGAAATTCGCCGGGCTATACGTTTCGTCGGAAGGCGTGGCAAAAGCCGTAAATACGCGCCGTCGGTCATCGCAATCGAGCGTGGCGCGCGAGCGTAATGAGCCCGCGGGTATCGGGTTTCCCGGCTTTCGGTGCCGAGACGTCTCGCGCGTAACGTTCCGCGCTTAATTGCCACCTCCGCGGAGGGAAACGCGGGCGTTTTACCGTTCGCGGGCCCGGTAATTTACCGTCGATCGGACCGCTTAACAACGCTATCGCGCCGGTTACCGGCGTGATTAACGTCCGATCGCTGCGACGGCTCGGGCCAGCGCTCGGCCCAGTAGTCGACGATTAATCCCTCGCGAGGAAATTAAAACCACAAAGTTACACCCCTCTCGCTTCTTCGCGCGCGCTTTTCTTTATCCGCTTACGTGCGTTGCGCCTGCACTTGTTCGCGCTAGCGGGTTGAATTCATCAACGGTAAATTAGAGGACGAGCGGGACAAGAGCAGCGTTCCGCATCGCGGATCCACACAGTTAACTTTGTGTATCTATCGGGTATTTTACAAGCTGTACGCCGCGAGTCCTCTCCGGAGTACACGTGTATTTGTCCGTGTCGTTTTCGAATCGATCAGCTACCGCCTGCGGTGTTTTCGCGACTGCGAAGTTTCGCGTACGTTCGTCTTCCCTTTCTCGAAACGCTAAAGATAATTTCATCTCCACGCGAGTCCGTTAATCCTTGCATATCGCGCCCTGGAATTTTCTAATTCGCGAACTCGATTGTATCGCAACTTTTCATCTTTTCGCGATCGAGCGTCCCGCACGGCCCCTCGGCCCGATCTTCCGACCCCGCGCCCCGAATTCCTTGGCCGTTCATTTCCTCGATCGGCAGCGAGAAAAGAATGCGATTTGACGATCGCTTTGGTGCGACGGTAACTCGCGCGCTCGCGATTATAGTTATCTCGTAGATATACCTTTGCACGATGCTTATTAACGCTCGATCGCCGTGGCACGAATGGAAGCCGATCGGTATCCGTCCGATCCAGATGCCGATCGTTATCCGACACGGCGTTTCGAGCCCTCCGCTTACGCCAAGGCCCCCTCCCTCGGCCCCGCCCGCGCGCGGCTAGGAATTAAACGGACACTTTCATTAAGCGCGGCTTTAAACTGCATTTAGATCAGGGCGGAAGGGGTGGAAGGGGCCAGCGAGAAGGGTTATATAACGCGAGATTTAGTCGTTCCGTTAGGTATCCCACCGCGCCATTTGAAAGTCATTGAAGTCGTAAGCTTCGCCGGAGAGCGCATTTTACAGCGAGGCGAATATAAAAGTCTCGGCGGCGATCGAGCGAGCGGAAGTGGAAAGCAATTCGTAATTTGCCGTTCGTCAATTCGCCGACATCCACGTCTCTCGCGCCGAATAACTTAATTGCGTCGCGCCGAGCGCCTATTCTATTTCTATTGCTCCCGTACGCGGAGGAAATTTCGCGGGGCCCGGTTTTTCCAGCGTCGCGTAACTTCAATCTTGGTTCAACTCACGTTTGTCTCTTTCTAAAGTAACAGTTGGAACGAGACGAAGAACGAATCGAGCTAAGCTTGAGTTTGAGTTAAGCGACGTTGGTGAAACCGGGCCTGAAGCCCGTGTCAGACCACAGACTCCCGACTCTGACTCGGCTACTGACACGGACTCCCGACTCTGATTCAACCAATCACAGCAAAGCACCGGCCGACCCTGACTGCCGACTCGGGAATAGACGCCACTCTAATTGGTGGAATCATAGTCGGGAGTCCGAGTCATTGGTCGAGTCAGAGTCGGGAGTCTGTAGTCTGATACGGGCTTGAGGCAGCCAGCGGTCGCGAGTCACAATTTGTATCGACTCGCGCTACGCTTCCGTTTTCCGCTACGATACACTGCGCTCTCGCGTGCAATCGAGTTGGGTAAAAGTGGAGTCATTTTCGATAGTTAAGCTTTCAATCGACCAGAACTGGCAAATTTCTTGCGACTTTTCTATTACCTCAGCCAGGGTTTGAACCTGGACTCTCCTACTCTCTACGTCTCACCAATTCGACCGCTGAGGCGTGTTGCAAAATCATTTTCGTTATACTCGGCCGTCTCTAACCGACGGAAGCCAAGCTACATCGTAAATTCATAACGGTCGTCGACATGCAAGTCGCGCGGAGTCTTTTTTTAAACGAGCGCCTCTCGATCATCCTCTAAATGCGTGCGCGTGGTCATCAACGGCCAAGTAAATGGATTTGTTCTCCTGATTAACAGGCGGCGCGCGTGGCCCCCGAAGGCGAGGCGAAGTCACCGGAGGATCGCGCCGCTCGCAGGACGATGCGCATCGCCGTCGTCGTCTTCGTCGTCGTCGTCGTCGTCGTCGCCGCGAGTGTCGTTCTTACTGTTCCCTCGTGCGTGGACGCGTAGAGTGAAGGAAAAGAGTAGCGGGAAAAGAGAGGGGAAAAAAGGAAAAAGAAACACACACAGACAACGGAAGGACTGAGAGAGGGAGAGAGTGTGCATCGTCAACGCGTGTGAAATGGATGGTACGCCAAAGAAAAGCGAAGCAGTGCTAATATATGGATGCCCATGGGTGGAACTTGGCCGAAATGTGCCAGCGCTACCATCACGCTATACCGGCGGCACCGGCGACGCAGAATTCCTCGCCAGCTAGGGATCCCTCGGCTGCCATCGCGCAAGGCCTGTCAACCGCCGCTCTCATCGATCAAGCCAGCCCGTCTTATTCGCACTACACGTAAGTCCATTTCTGTCTCTTCTTTTAATCCCTCCCCCCCGTCCCTTTTCTCTTTCTCTCATATTTATTTCATGAATATACGACGGTGTAATAAATTTGACGCGGGCGTTCCGATAGGATCGGATCGCGCCTTCGTTAGGCGAGTTCTCGCGCTTCGCGGCAGTTCGAGCCTGGCTTTCCACGTCGAAAACTCGCGGGGAGTTGACGAAGACCGAGGGTCCGCGTTTCGGCGGGGACGCGCGTGGACGGCCGGGGTCCCTCGTATGCACACACGTATGCACGGTATCGCGGAGCTTATCGGGGATGAGGGGTGGGACGCGGGGACCCGCCCGGGCCCCGTTCTCAATTGTATCGTATATATTAATAACGATACGGCGAATTAGGGATAAGTATACGTACCGCGCGGTCAGGACCCCCGTAATCCTGTTATTAGCGCGGCGATTAGGGGAAGATGATCCCCGGGCAAATTGCAGGGGCGTGTACCGCGCGTGTTTGGTTAACATAATCGCCAATCGCCTATCGCCGATCCGCGCGAGTCCTTCGGAACGAGGAGGGCGATATATGCGAGGCGACGCGGACGTGCGTTTCTCTCAACCCCATCGGTCCGGGGGGGAGTGGGCGCGCGCGCGCGCGCGCGTTTCCCTCCTTTCTAAATTTTCTTACTCCCCTCCCCTCCCTGTCCCCCGCGCGTGTCTGCGGGACGTTAGTGTGTTGGAAATCCATTAAATTGCAGTTTACGCTCGAGATTCAATGTTTCACTATCATTACGTCGTACTGCGAAGGCAAAGAGGATAAGAGATGGCTCTCACTCGTTCTCTCTTTCTCTCTCTCTTTCTCTGCTCGACCCTTTGGGACTGCTAAGGAGGAGGTTGAGAAAATAGCATGCGCGCTGCCGGCCGCGGCATGCGTTTCTAACGTATCGTATAATTTCAGCTATTTCTTATCTCGTTTGCCCGCAGTCTTGTTTGCTTGTGCCCTCTTACAATATACATGTTCGCGGGGGAACATGCGAGAATTTCGCGTATAACATTCGTCGTTCCTCGACCGCGCTCGCGGAGCCGAGTAGGACAAGTACGAGACAGGTGACGCGAAGTGCGAAGAGAAAATTCGTTACCTCTTAATGATTTCTCAGCGCCTGTGTCGACGGTGCTGGAACTTGGTCCAGGTCCCAGTTTCGAGAGATGTGCGGCCAATAAACTTTTACGGAATAGCTGCAAGTTGATTGGCTACACATTTCTCGAAACTGGGACCTGGACCAAGTTCCAGCACCGTCGACACAGGCGTTGAGAAATTATTACGAAGTAACGAATTTTCTCTTCGTTCCAGTTTCGAGAAATGTGTAGCCAATCAACTCGCGGCTACTCCGTAAAAGTTGACTGGCCACACATCTCTCGAAACTGGAACTTGGACCAAGTTCTTGGATCGTGCAGGCTTAAAAGAGGCATTTTGGCATGGGCCTGTCGACCTGAATTTATTGAAACGTCGAACGCACCAAAAATTTCGCATGCAGAGATTACCGCGACGGCGCGGATCTTTCGACCGCTTCCTCTGACGACGAAAATCATCTCCATTAAAATGGTTCCGCCCGGTTCCCATCCGTTGGTTGCTCCCAGCCGTCGCACGGATCGCGTACCACGTCACGTTATTTCATACGAACGCACGCACGCACGCACATTAGACGTTCCTGCAATTTTTTTTGACGCAAAGCATCAGCGAAAGTCTCGCAAGTCCGAAAGCTTCAACTTACGACGATTTATCCACGAGTTATGGCTAATCGATCAAAGTTTCTCCTCGTAGAGCCTAAAGTTTGGATTTAATTCTCGATTAAGCTTATTCTATGACAGTCGATTATTCTTCTCATATTTGACCGTGCTCGATCGATTTCTTGCCCTACGGCTTGCGTTTCGCGTCCATTGTACAATAAGCTTTAGATTTTCGAGCGTTTTCTTCGCAATATCTTCGGGAGATCGCGAGCCTACGGAGCCGCTGGTGAATCCTCGCAGCGAACTTGCTTGGTAACGCCGCGGCACGCAATTCTGTAATGCCGCTACGTGCTCGCTTGTTGATTGACTCTCTCGTATTTACGAGGCTGAACAAAAGTTCCTCGCGATCGAGTGCGAGAGTGCTCGACAAATGGTCGCCCGTCGATCGCTCTCTTGGAGAACTTGAAGCTGCAAAATCACAAATGTTGACAAAAGTCACCGGGGGCTAGATCTGGGGAATACGGGGGTTGGTCAATCAGTTCGAACTGCAATTCGTGAATTTTGGCCCAGTATCGTGTACCGTTGGCTTTATCCTATCCTATCCTCGTACCCTATTCTGTCTGATCTCGTCATCCTATGCTTCCTTCCTATCCTTGTTCCTGCATCTCCTTCTCCCGTTTTCCATCACAGCAAAATATTCTCTCTAAAAGTGAATCAAGTGGATCATGACTGAAAACAGTGAATAGTCGCTGATTTACAAAATATATCACTGCAATTTTCAATGGTATACTTACAACTGCAAATCAATGATCTATTCACCGTTTTCAATAATAATTCACTGATTGACTTTTCAAGAGTCAGCTAACTTTTCAAGAGTCTTTTCCGCGTACAAGGGCCTGAGCAGAATGGCTGTCTTCCACTCTTCAGACATAAGACAGTTATTGTGCGTTACCTCAAGACAAAGGCTTAAAACATAAAACATTGTCTCAGGGCTGTCTTAAGCGCTGGTCTACAATACGTGGAGTAAGCGTGGAGTAAGGAGTAAGGGAGAGCCCTAACTTGTAGCTTTTGGTGTAAGGAAGCTGAAATACGGACATAATTTTAAAAATATTTGTAACACTGATTGATGGCATTTTGATTCACCGAGAGTAAGCCTAAGAGCTGAAGTAGGAGTCAGAAATAAAATGGATTTATTTCCTTACTCCTACTCCTTACTCCAGCTTACTCCATGTATTGTAGACCAGCCTTAAGAGTATAAGACAGCCATTCTGCTCAGGCCCTAAGTTGGAACAGTTGGCACACCTCTCTCGATCTCCTCGCTCCCCCTTTACGCGGGATAACGACGTTGGCCTAATCTAAAATATCAGCTCGAGTGTCTCTACGCATTTTTCCGAGCCGCTAATTGTCGCGGATCCCCGCGTAATTAAGTTACGTCGCGAGTGTCTGACTCTCGCGTGATAAGAATGAATATCGCGACGCGGCGTCGCGCGCGCCGGGGCAGGCTCAATTTGCAAACATCGATTGTAACGACGAAACGTCAATAATTCCGCGAACGAAACGCTACGCCAGCGCGGAGCAGGTGCAACCTCGGTGTCTCCTTCTCGGTACCCGCGCGGACTGGGAATACCTAAGCGTCGCGAACTCTTCGAAAATCGCCGCTAGTTTCCCCCTCCCCCCTTTCTTTTTTACTCGACCCGCGCCGGAGTTCGGATTTTCCGCTCGTGTTTCGAGCGGGATTGTTTCCAGCTTTTTGTTTCGGCGCGTCTGAATGCGAAGTCGTGGAAGTGCTTACGCGCTGCGGTGACGTCGCGCTTGACCCCTGGCGTCGCGGTGCCGCGCGTTGCCGACGACCTTGCGAATCCCTGCGATCGCGGTGACTCAGATCGGTGACTTGACGATTGAGCAATGACTGGCTGTTAATTACGGATTAACGTTAGTTATAGTTATTTCGAGCGTACATGAGACACGCGTCACGCAGGGAGAGACGCGCGCGACGCCGATTCTCGGCGGTTGCGCCGCGCCGTCGTCGCCGCCGCCGCCGACGACGACGGCCCGGCTAATCGTTCATCTGTATTATTTAATTAAGCGATTCCTTCGAATCCATTACGCGCGAGAAAAGAACGCCGGGGGTTCCGTTTTAAATGCCACCGCCATTGTTCCCGCGATCTGTAGCGAATACAAAGAGCGAGATCGCCGAGATAATGGATTCATATTTGCATTAGAAACGTAACGACGGTGGGCCCGCAGCGAGCGACCCCGTGTTGGCGAACTTGAACGTCCTCGCGAACTCGGGGGCAGTCGTCGGACCCCGAGGGTCGTCGGACTCTCGCGGACCGCGTCGGGCGCGGGGAGGCGATTTTAGGACGGTCGTAAATTTGTGGCCGCGTTAAAACGTAACGGCAGTAGCGACGTATCGATGAATCGAGGCTCATTTGCAGCCGCGTAAATTTGCATGGCTGCAAACAATGGCCGCGCGGATTAACGAATTAAGGCGGCTAAGTATTCCAGTGTGACAAATGCCGGATATTACTTCCTGCGAGCGAGAGCGAAAGAGTGAGAGAGAGGAGGGGGGGGGGGGGAGCGCATGAAAAAAACATTTCGAGCACGCAACGAACGTATGATAATTCCACGCGCGTGGCAGTCCCATTTGCACGAGCGGCCTATCGAACTCCGCGGGCTCGGCGATTTATTTGCCGAAGTCGCTCTCGTTGGCCGTTTCCGACGCGCCGCGGCGCGTCCTTCGAGCGCCCCGGTCGCCGTGAGAGGTGCCACGAATCGGAGAAATACCCGCGCGTGGGATTTTTATGAACCGTTACGTGCCACGGGTTCACCACGACACACCACGAGTTCCGCAATTAACGCAACCGTATACCGGGGGCCGGAGCGCAGAGCCGCCTCGCCACGTCCTCCGCAGTTAGCCTGGGAATTTTTCGTCGCTCGACGGTATATCTCCGGTGGTATCGCGCGCGCGGACACCTCTTCCCGTGAGGTGCCGTGTAGAAATCTTCGATTCTTCCTTACTCGGTCGCAGGAAGTCGTACGTAATGGCTCCGCCGTTGCCTCGGAGGTCAGAGAAGGGTATACGGCGCGGGATACAGCGGACGCGGACGGACGTACGGACGGACGGACGGGCGAACCGACGAGTCCGGGCTCCGCGGCGTCCGTTCCGCAGCCTTAAACAACCCGTAGAGGTTTCGGGGATGCGCTTTCTTCGTTCTCAAATCTGAAACGCGCCGGAGCGTTAGTAGTGCAGAGGTGAGCGGCTGGGGTCGTCACTTCCGCTCACCAACCGGACCGCATTGGGCATTCGATTTGAAAGTTTAATCAGGGGCTTATATAAAATTACAGTCCTCGTCCCCGTTCGCTCGCGCCGAGGAATTTCGCCGCCGCCGCCGCCGCTGCACGATTCGCGAGGCGATCTATAGATCCCATTCAATTTATCTATATCTATAAATCGCGACGTCGTTGTCTCCGATGCCGACTGGCGAAATTTTCGATCGGCGCGGCGCGTCGCGACGTCGATTCAGGGGGGGGGGGGGGAGGCGATCGGCGCCGTGGCACACGCGCGCGTACGCGGTTCGCGTACCGACGCGTATAAAGATCGATTCCCACCCACGCGGCGCGTTTACGCCGCTCTTACGCGGGCTCGCGCACCGCATCTCGTCGCCTCGTCGTCGGGCAATGCAAGGGTGTGTTCGATCGGCGCGATTATTTGAATAAAAATGCGCGTCGCCGCACGAAACTGCGCCCGATAGCTTTCTCCTTGCTCCTCTCCGGTGCTCCATCAGGAGGAGAGGAGGGGAAAGAATAATTTAACTGGGGAACAAGTGTGTCGTTGACGAGGAGAATGACGAAGGGAACGGGCTCTCTCTCGTGCTCTCTCTCGTGCTCTCTCGCTCGCTCTCGCGACCCGGTCGCCGTCGCGCTGCCCGTTTGCCGCTGCGTGCCGAACCGTGCACAGGACGCACCGGCTGCTTTTCCCTCCTTCTCCCTCGCGAGGGCGAGGGCGAGGAGCCGCGGCGGAGATTCATGAGGCTCAACGGACATGCCGATTTAGGGGATCGCCGCCGGTGCGCGGCTGTTGTTCTTTGTCTCCCTGCTCGGCCGAGTCTGACGTGCGTGCGGCGTGTCTGCCGTTGCCGCTCGCACAGGTCGCGGCCCGGCGATTCTCCCCGAGCTATTTGTAACGTGGCGGACGCGTCGGCGTGTGGAAGGATAACTGTCGCTTTTCCTTGACACGCATTGCGGGACCGTCGTCTCCGCGTTCGGCATTCCCGGCCGCCTGGCACCGCGCGACGTCTCGACATTTCGGAGAGGAGCGGAGAGAGAGCAGAGTCCTCCGCGTCTCTCTAACTTTGAGCTTGGTTCAACTACTCTCTCAAGTTCGGGGTGAACGTATCTACTTCAACTTCAGCGTTTACTTGTCCATGTGTCCGGCGTTTTTAATAATACAGAAAATTTATTGCGAAAAATATCTCAGCCAGGGTTTGAACCCTGAACTTCCCTGCACTCTAGGCGGGCGTCTCACAATACATGCCTCAATTGTCGAATTGGGAGAGAGTGAGATATTCGTACTGCTCTCCTTTTCTCTCGTTGAATTTGACTAAACATGGCGGACAACTCCGTTGGCCCGACTCTTATTTGAGGGTCTCTAGGAAAACGGGGCCTCGCGCGGCTAAACCGCTACGAGCGCGTCTCGCCACGCGTAGTAAACGTCGCGCGCCGACGATAACCGCGCGTGGAGCGCGCACCGTCCCGCGATGTACCGCGTAAATTAACGCAATCGCTGCGAATCCCATTAATAACGGCTGCGCTATCGTCGGTGACGTTCGCGGATATTCCGCGTCTTATCTCGCGCGGATCGCGCGAGACGATACCGGGGCGTCCCGCGAAGCGGTGCCGCGATCGTCGTCCAAGTTCGACAAAGGACGCGACGTTAACGCGCGCGACGCCCGTCGATGCATCAGCGTCCGGCGATCACTCCTGGCGAATTAATATTTTCGAAACGGCGCGCGGCTCATTGCATTCGCGGTTGGAGACTGCTTCCTCTACTCCTGGTGCAGTCACCCCGACATGAATCATTAAAGAAACAATGCTGAAGGCAGTGGCGTATCTATCATACGCGTGGGTGGTGCACAGCTGCGCCGACGCCGGCGGAACCCGGGGGAATCCCGACCGCGGATCTTAATGACTTTTAATTTCGTATCTCTGCCGTCGCCGCGAATACGAGCTTTTCGCGAGAAACGCTGGGAAATAAGTTCCGCCACTGTCAGAGACGTTTCATCGTCTTTTTTTCGTTTTTACTATCGCGCTTTGGATTATATCAGGACGTGACGTATGCGTTGTCAAAGATTCGGCAAAGACAATGCGACGAGCTGATGCAGAGACACGTCCGATTTCGTCCCGTTTCGAAACTACATTCGTTTCACTTATCTTTACGGAAGATCCGCGACGTAAAGAGCTATCGTATACTTTTATGTCCGCAATCGACTCGTTATCCTCTTGTCGCGTATCGTCAATGAACGTGCGCCGTGGACAATAGATTTCAGTCCAACGCGCAAAAATTCATGCGCGGGTAATGGCATCTGCGAGACCTGTTCATTTGTTAGGAAATCGCCCATCCGAGAAATATCGCTGAAACACGAAGCTCGTTACGACGCGGAAGCAAGGCGAGATCGGACGTATCCATGTTTACGCGTGTAATTATTATTATTGCTTTTTTTTTTAACCGCGACCGAGTCCGCGCCCACGCAGTTCACTTGGAAAGGGTTCGCGTCTCCGTCTCCCGGGCGTCGAGAAATTTCGTGAAACGCCTCGCGTAAATCTCAATCTATTTAATCGCGGTATAAAAGCGCATTCTCCTCGGTAGGCCGTGATTCGTATCGGACCGTATTCGATACGATATACTTCGATACGTCGAAGCGAGCCGCCGGTTTTATCAGCGACGAAACGTGACTCTTTATCTCTCTCTTTCTCTCTCTCTCCCCCTCTCTCTCTCTCTTTCTTAGACTATTGTGCTTCTCCCTATCGATATAAAGGGTGACAAAAACGCGCGCGCCTAACCGGCGCGAGGTTTATTGAATGAAAATGCCGGTACGTTTCTTTATTCTTTTTTTTTTAACCGACGTGCGTCGCAGCATCTCGCCGATCGCCGAATGAAACAATGGCCATTATATGGAACGCTCGCGCGCACGTATCGTGCACACATTCGCGGAATATCTCGTGCACATGCATTACGTACAGTCGCGGCGCTGTAGCGCTTAGGACACCGTGTGCATGCGCGCGCGCGCGTGTAGCCGCGAAAATGTATGTTGCGCGCGAGCGCGCGCGCGCTCGCTCGCGCGACAGACAGCTGTTCGTACTATTATACCCGGCGCACGGTCGCATAATGCCTTAAGGACAATCGTGGGAATTCCATTAAGTGGCCTTGAATGGTTCATTCATGTCGATCAACTCTTTTCCTAACGGAACGGTTGACAGATCAATCGGCCGCGCGGGCACGAGAGCGACCCACGGGGATTTCATTCGCTCGTACTCGAGATCGAGAGGAACGCCGGAGTCAATTACTACTGGGCACAGGCCGCGCGATCGTCGGCGGAGCGCACGGAGTCATCGTCGTCGGGAATGCTGCTGCCGGTTGTGCGAATCGATCGGCTCGCGGCCGCGGCTTATCACCAGTTTATTCCTCGGCGTGCCGCGATTGCGCTCGATTGCGCTCGCACGCGAACGCGCTGGCTCGCGCCTTCCGCCGCTGGACGATCAATAAGCCGATCGCCGGATCGGCCACCGGTTGGATCGGACGCCGCGATTATGACACTCGATTTGACGCGGGTCCACGCGGGCCCCGAAATAACGGACGAACACGTCGGGCAACGTAATTCTCGACGAGAGGCGATTAGTGCAAACTTAGCACAGTGGTACGAGCGACCGTAATCGATCTGTCCTTGGGAAGTGTACTCCGTTCGAAGCAAGCAATTAAAATTCGACCATTTTTAATTTTCACATCCGCCATTCTGAATTTGTCAACTTTGACGTTCAGATTCTGGTACTCGGCGACCGCGCGACTCAAGTCTGAATAACGTAATTAAAAATTGTTGAGTTAAGGTGTACACATCATAGGCCTTTCTGCTATGCAATTTCTTTAGAATATCGACGGTCGAATTCACGTGTTGTAATTTGAAAAGCGCTTCCCTAACTCACAACTTCGACGCGATAGGTTTAATCATCTTTTTAACCATAAGCCACGCGACAAATTCAAATCGGAGGAGGACTGGACGCATTTCTCTTGGATTTTTGCAGGATGCTGGACAATTATGACAGGGGTGAGGTGACACCACCGCCGGCGGTGAGCGGCTACGGCGGCTCCCCCGGGCTTCTGGCGCTCCATTCCTCGCTTTACGCGACTCCCACGTCGAGGGCCTACGACATCGACTCCGGTATCGACGGCAACGACAGCTCGATGCCCATGGACACCCAAATCATCTCGGTAAGACCTCTCGATCCGATTTCGGATTCTGAATACACAGGCTGTCCCGGGAGGGAAAGGTCAATATTCTGGGAGGCGGTAGTATCGGTCATTTTATGCAAAAATGTTCATATACCGATACTATCACCTCCCAGAATAGTGTCCTTTCATCCTGGAACACCCTGTATACCGTCGCAGGGTTGAGAAAGTTACAAGTAACGAGTTGCTTCCCAACCCCGCACCGTTGTTCGCGAGATAGATCCGCGTGCCCCCGCGTTGCGCCCGGTGCTGTAGTAAACACACCCACGCGAAACGTTCACGACAATACGCGCGTACGACTACGTCGGGGACGAACGCATGGGAATAGGGTCGAATCGCCGCGCGGAATAGCGGCAGCCGGAGGGAACGATAGCGAAATCGTACGTCCGGCGCGAACGCGATCGACTCATTAATCCCACGTCTCGTCCTGTCGTTAGTCGTCGCTTCGCGTCTCGACGCGATGTTCGGCGCCGGTCGCCAATTGCACTGAAAAAAAAACTTTTCGCTATTTTGCCGCCACTATAGCCGACCATACTTTACGACTGAAACTTGGTTGTCACGTGCAGTTTTTAACTACGGCAGCTACATTTTTCTTTCCGTGTAAGGGCCAGTTTTACAAACTGGAAGGTTAATGAATTCTCTGTCTCTTCTTAAATAACAAAATGGAAAGAGATAGAGGGTCGACTGAACCCTAGTTAACAGTTAACCGATGATTGCGAAACTGGCCCTAAGACACTTGCTGCGTTCGACGTGTTCGTATCTGAATCGCGAACCCCTCGCTCTCGTCACTTAGAACACTAAGAGATTTTCAAGCTCTCGAGGCACGCGCGTCGCCGGGTAAACACACGCCCATACGTCTCACAACACGCGTCGTTTCCTGAAACCAGATACCGAGCATGCTGACCGGGCCGGCGCAGCAGCGACTGGAGGACATGCCCTGGCTCGCCTCCGGCCCGTCGCTGGACTACCAGCCGGGCATCTCGCCGATTCCCGCGGGAGTGAAGATGTGCCATCCCGGCGGCGGCACCGCCCAGAGGAGCCTCAAGGAGCAGCGGATACGTCGCCCGATGAACGCGTTCATGGTCTGGGCAAAGGTCGAGCGCAAGAAATTGGCCGATGAGAATCCCGATCTCCACAATGCCGATCTCAGCAAGATGCTCGGTAAGTGCGCGCGTGAAATGCTCCTCTCTTTTCCCCTTTGTTCCTAGAGCGATCGGCGGGCTCGTGGCCCGCGACCGAGTCCGTTCGGTTAATCTTCTAACGGAGACTGGATTTGCGTAGCGGGTGAGGCATCGAATACGGATCGACTGCCAGGGCATCAATAACCTCCGGAAACTTTTTCATTCACATTGTTAACTTTTACGTGTGAATTATCCGAGAAGTCTCGTTCATTCAATTCCGACCTATTAATAAGTGATCAAAGAGAATAAAAGCTATTTGCTTTTCTCAGGAATAGGTTCTCACGATTTGCGGGTCTACATAGAAATCCAATGCTTTTAACGGAGCCGCTAATGCATGCAGTTTTCTATGTTAAACAGATCGGACGATTTATTAAAAAAACATTGTATCTTTTAAAATGCAATTAAAGCGCATCGAGGTTACTTCGTTAATAATAGGAAAATCGTCTATCGCCGGATACGGCAGGGGCCGAGATACGAGATTACGGTCTACTCTTTGAAAAACACACGTGCGCGGAAACAATGTTGGCGCGTTGCTCGCGGGAAAAAGGCTTTTCCACCGGGAAACCGCCGGCTCTGGGAATAAGAAAGCAGGAAAAAAAATGTTACACGCGGCGCGGCGCGTTATCATTAAATTAATTGAGGACGCCGGGCGAAAATGTAGAATTAATGCAATTACGCGTTGGCGTCGAAGCTGGATCTTTAACAAGACGAGGAGAAAGGTGAGAGCTTTCTCGGGGATCACAGCTGAATGCCGGGGAGGAGAAAAACTCGTGGGGCTCGTTAACGCGGTTGCCCGTTTCCTCGCCGAAACGTGCGGCCACCGCAAATGTGACTCGCGGTCTCATCTCGCACGTATCCGCGAGCCACCTGCGCGATCGAGATAGGGGAAATCGGTCTCTTATCTGCGTCGCGCCGCACGTTCGAGTCCTCTTCGCGAATGTGATTCCGATCGTTACGTTATCGCTTCGCGATTCCCGCGGCGACGTCTCGCGAAAGCGGACGCGATGCGGACGTTGAAAGGACGACGGTGGCACTTTCGTTCCTACGATTTCGCGAAAACCGGAGAGCTTTGCGGACGGTCTCTCGCGGTTCTTCCTTTTCTCTCCCTCCCCTTCCCCTCTCTCTTTCTCCCTCTTTCCCTCCGTCATCATCCTTGGCGTGTCTCCCTGGTGTTAAAACCGAGAGCCCATCATCCGGCACCTAACGATCTGTCAGCGCCGATCGGCGCTCTTTCCCTCCTCCTCACTCCTTCGCGCGCGTTATCGTGGGCAGGTACACCTTGAATTATCGGCAATTGGCATCCGCAACGTTATTGGCATTTGAACGATCGAGCGGCCGTCGTGCAGAAAATTGTAAACTTCTCCTCCACCTACCTGCCTTCACCTCACCCGTTGCCCATTTCCAGCGCCCCGCGCGCGGCACCCAGCGTGTTTACACTCGCGCGCGCGCGCGCGCGCGCGTGTGCTGCGTGCGTGCGTGCACACGTGCTCTCCTCCACCTCCCGCCCTCCCGGGACCGCGTCTTTTTCCCCTTTTTCGTCTCGCCACACTCTCTTTGTCCGTCTGTCCCTCTCGTCTCGCGCCGACGAGCAAACCCGTAAATCACCAATCTGCCCCCACCCCCTCGTTCCCCATGTTTCTCTCTCTCTCTCTCTCTCTCTCTCTCTCTCTCCCTCCGAGGCCGGTTATCGATACGGAATAAGGAAAACTCCGTTGGGTTTATCGATCGGACATTAGGCGATCGACGCGATGTTATTGGCATGACGCGGCTCCGATTACTATGCACGCCGGGTCTTTCGTCCTCCTCCTCCTCCTCCTCCTCCCCCCCCCCCATTCTGTCCCTCCGCGTCTTCTTTTTTTCTCTCCAGACATCCTACATATTCATGCGCGTGCTGTGTGTCGATTCGTCCATCCGTCCATCCGCGCGCGCGCGGAACACACGCGCGTGCACCGGAGCGCGTGTTTTGCGTCGGCGTGCGCGCGCGCGCGTGTGCGTCGATCGCGTCGCTGTCGGTGTCGGGGCACGCAACGCACGATATACGCCGATGGGGGCCGTGTGGGCACCTTATATCCGGTGACACGCGTGCCCGCGCATCTTTATTAATCGCCGGCCCCGACCGTTAGCTCGCCCTCGGGAGCTCTCGCCGTCCGCCCGACGTTAGAAACGAGCGCGTTCCGCGCGCGCGCCCGAATCCCGCGGCCGAATCAGCCCCCGGATTGTCTCGCGGGCCGCGTCGTTAATCCCGCCGTTAATTAGCGGAACGGCGACGTCGGCGGCGGTGGTTTATCGCGCCAGGCGCTTTTATCCGCGGGATCGGCGTCGCTCGGAGCGGGACGATATATACCGCGGCTGTCGTCGCGCGTATACCGGCCGTATAAACGCCGCGCGACGCCACTGCGCCGTGTCGCGGGACCACCTACGACAAATGTGGCAGCCCGCAAATAATACCGGGCGTGTTGTTGTACCACCGGCGACAGCGCCGGAGATACAGGGCTCTAACTGCCAACGCGCGGTATCGTGGTTTAGTGCCTCCGATTACTTCCCTCCCTTCCCTGCGGGTGACATGCGTATATACGGGATGTCCCCGAGAAAGAGAGAGAGCGAGAGAGAGAGAGAGGGAGAGATCGCTAAACGAAAATGCACGAGGCGACGATTGTGTCGAAATATCGGGAGCGCCGAACGGTGTTTCGTCACTCGGTGTCGAAAATCGCACGATTCTGGCTCCGAGACGTGCAAGTGTAACGAAATCTGGCTCCTCGCGGAGGTGCGCGAACTACAGTTTACGAGTCGAATCGGGTTGGGATTCGGTTCGGTTCGAATTGAAAAAATATTGCCGATTCCATTTGACGTAATGAAAAAAAAAAACTCCGCGACATACATCTCGCAATCGGCTTTCCCGTTTCGTCTCCCGTGGCGTCACCGTCCCCGCAGGAATTTAATCGGCGAGTCGCGATCGGCGTTAGAAACTAATCTACGGAATGTTTAGTTCCTCGTCATCACGAGGCCCTATCTCAAGTCGGTCGGAGGAGCCCACGACCCGAGGACGGAAGGGACACTCTGTATATTCTCCCGCGCGCGCGCGCGCGAGAGGAGGACAGGCTCGTCTTCTCGTAAAATACCGAACCGCCTTCCGTTCGCGGCCCTTAAACGACGGATCGGCCACGTACAGTATCTCACTGTAATGGCGCTCGCCGCGGAAGGACCGATAACGTCGACCTCGTTGGTCGATTTAAGGGACGGTGCGCCGATTGAAAATTATTGGCCGTGCCAGGGTGTACCGAGCCGTTTCGCGCGTCGTTTCTCTCCCGAAGCTCCGATTCCGAGAGTCGACGCCGATAATCACGCACTTCGGGCCCGAAAGCCAAGTTTCCGCGAGCTGCGACGATACCGATCGCGCGCCCAACGAAAATCGCACGTATCCGGGGCGTTTTTACGCCCGGGCCTGAATAAATATATTATTGGGATAATAAAACGTAATAAGCCGTGCCGAGCGCACGGTGTGACCTTTCGGATCGCCGCGGGGTGGGATAAGATCGGGGAAAGATCGGCGGCCGATTGAAACTAAGTAGACGCGCGCGCCCGCGCGCGCGGTGGAAGTGCGTAAGAACGATCTGAACTCCGAGGGAAAGGCCCACTTTTCTCGGCGCGCGTACAATACGCGCATATACATATCACTCTCCCGATGCCCCATCCTCCCTTCTTCCTCGCCGCCTCCCCGTTCCGCTTCCCCTCCGTCTCCATCTCGGCCGGCTCTCGAACAATAGCACCTCGGCTGCACGGTGGATGAACTTCTGAGGCTTGGAATCGGCTCTGCCCACTCTGTAAATTGCGTTTTCGTAAAAATATTCATAGAGGCGAGAGAGAGAGAGAGAGAGAAGAGAGGCCGGGCCGATCTAAAGCGGCAGCCTACATCCTGCTGCACGGCTAAATGCAGCGTGGATATATAGGTCTCGATCGCTGATACGCCATTGTACGGAAAAATGGATCATCGAGCGAGAGATTTCGACACGGCGAACACGGCGGGTTGAATAACGTGGAAACGTTACGCACCGAGGGAACACCGTGGTATCGATCGCGTAAATGTATCTCTCTCTCTCGCCTTTTATCATAAGGCTGAAATATACTGGAGGCGAATCGAGAATTTTGTTATGTCGAATCGAATTTCGCTTCCCTTCTCCAATCGACAAAACCTCATCCGAATCGAAGCGAACCGTTGAAGTGTAAGTTTTGAAAAACAACGTAAAATTATTAACGCCAGTGTTTTCTTGACCATATCTGGCATATTTAATAATACAATAAATTTATATCAACAGATCGTGTATTTGCGTCAGTGGCGTTAAAAAAATGTACGTGTCTTTAATGCAAATTTTCACGCGAATCGCGCTACATAAAAGTCTGAGCGCGTTGATCGCGAATGGTTATCGTTATCGGACCGTTTACGATCTCGTTTGTCATCCCACGCCCAGAATTTGCACAGGGAAGATTCTTTTTTCGTCTTTCAATTCAATTTGATAATGAAGCTGGACTCTGCGCGCCTTCAATTAAACTTGTTCGTCCTTGTTATGCCATCCTCTTCGTTCTCTGCCTCCCTCTCTCTCTCTCTCTCTCTCTCTTTCTCCCTCTCACACACGCCCGGATCCGACCCGCGGAGGAACTTGTTCGTTTTTCTACGGCGATGCTCGATTAATCCGAGACAAGATCGGCCTCTCGTACGATCACGAAACTCATTTGTTTCTCTATACCGTCCGCGCACACGCGCGCATTAGTAAACTCGTTTCGATCGGGCGCGTTTAAACCGCCACCATCATCATCAATCTGGCAATCATCGACTAGTAAAGTTGTTCGGCGATCGGCCTGATCGCGCAAATCGGTTTAGCGCAGGGGTCGGCCGCGCTGCGTTGCGAGAAGCCGCGGAGGTATTTAAAAAGCGGCGCGTAATCGTGGCCGGTACATACACTTCCCTCGGGTATCCGCCGGCCG